TACTGCTCCCGAAAAACAAATTCAAACTCGAAAAGGATCTTTCTGATTCTCGAAGAATGAGAGAGCCGATGTTCCTTTTAGAAGAGCAGAATCGAAGTATAGTGTCGAACAAGTRGGTGTAACTGTTGAGTTCTATGGGGCCGAACTCAATGGAGTCAGTTATAGTGATCCTGCTACTGTGAAAAAATATGTATTTTTTTTATCTCGAGCACGGGTTTATGGACTCAAGTGGTTTCATGAAATTGGAATCGGTTTTCCGGTTCAACCAACTGATTAGTTGGTTTTCAGCGGGTTTTGAGCAAGTTGGGGTATGACCGAACCAATTAGGGCCTCGATCATGGTTCAAGATAGCCTATACCATTCCTATTCCAATAAAGTTTAATTTATTTATTCATTTATTTTATTATATATTAAATTAAATGAATTGTTATCTATAAATTCTTATTTATTTGATTTACCAAGTCATTTATTTTTTATTTAAAAATAATTTACAAACAAAAAATAGATCTAAAACCGTCTCGATTAATACTCTCTTAATATGTTTTCTCTCTACTCGAGCCCAATAATTAGGGTTATTAATGAGCTGACAAGTTATAATTTTGTCAACACCCTTTGTGATGGTACCATTTATTGATTATTTTCTGTTTTTTTCAAATTTTTTTGTTATTATTGATTTTTATTTGAATAAATTTCTTAAATTACCCTTATAATTTAGCTAATGGACCAAGTATACTTAATACTACCCTTACTGTTTCGAAAAAGAATGATGAAAGGACTGAAATGTCTATTTTGCCCTTATGTCAAATTGAAAGCAACTCCTGTTCTTCTTCATCTTCCTCGAATGGATATCACCGCCCAATCCTTCACCAGTTTCTCCTCTCTTATCTCTTCCCTCTCCTCTCTCTCAAAATCTTTGTCGCATCACGGTCAAGCTAGTCAGGTCTTTCTCTGCTCTGATTAACAGGGGAGCTGGTGTTGACTTGTAAAAAAAACGTCGGTTCACATCCAGAGAGAATGGCTTCTCAGTAAAGAAAGGAAAGGTACAAAAAAAAACATTGTAAAAGGGTCCCATCCGATAGTGTTTTTTGATTCACAGAGAGGAAAACTTAAAAGGGTCTGTCCGTTAACCTAGGTTCTTCACATTGGACCTCGATTCTGGTCTCTATTGTTTCTTCCCGGAGGAGAGATTTCATGGTTGAGAATAAGACCTCTGAAGTTCCAATAGAATGATTCTGATTCCATTGTTGCTGATCATTTCGTAACCTTTGCTTTATGAGAAAGTTCAGTATCTGTCGGGATCGTCTTTTAACCGACTTCAATCGCAAGAACCAATCCACCTAAATATCTATGAAACTGAAGTTCGTAGGTTTCTGGGTTGATTTGCTTTCTTTTTCCCCTTTTATATTTTGAACCTATCCTACAACTCGAGTGGAGGTCTTTGGGTTTTCGACATTAGAGCTTGATTAGAGTCCACCCATCTTGTGTTCTATTTGACCAGTTTAGATTTTAGACAGTATTTATAAGTTTTTTTGTTTTTCTTTTTTTTTTTAACCTAGAGCTATCGAATTTGACCCTGAAACTGTAATCCTGTTTTCTTTTTAAGGTATCTATCACCGAAATAGCAAAAATAAACTAAAATCAAAACCAGTGAAAAACAATAACAACAGAACACAACAGTTCGATTTGCCGTGTTTTTTCTGCAACACCCCAATAGTGTGTGCGAGATGTTGAAAGGAAGAAATGGTTTGAAACAGAACACAACAGTTCACCTTGCCACTCTTGAAAGGAAGAGAGACGGTGAAGATGAAGATGAATGGAGGGCAAAATTGGGTTTTAAAAAAATTTACCTATTTTATTTTTATATAATAAAATTGAAAAGTCAATGGAACATTGTCTTAAAATTTATACGTGACAAGTTTGACATTAATTAATGTTGACAATTTTTGATCTAAATTACTATAAGAAGAAAAACAATGTTTTGCTTATTTTTCAGAGAAAGACGATGATGGTGGATAATTGTTAGGAATGACAAGGTGTGACGGTTCAGCCACCATCAGCGCCATCAGCACGCCATCCAAGTGTCTTGGGTTGGATTCTTGTACTCTTTTTGTAAGGGGGTATGCCAATGGCAATTATGTAAATAGTAGTATGCATGTACAGTATTTTGATGTATCATTTTGTCACTCCCCCAAAAGCTTAACGTACTCTTTGAGGGGAGGTAGGTAGTCGAGTGAGCTCATAAGCGTGTAAAGGTTAAGCACGAGATCCCCTCGACACTGTACTGTGTGCTTGTGCTTACCACTGATTAATACAATACAAGTTGCCTTTTTGTCTAATTTGTGTGCACTCTTGTTTCCTTTTGTGTGTTGTTGTTTGCATTTGTAAGCTTTCTCGACCCCAATCGAGCGCCGCACGGGACCCCGTCGATTAGCCCCGTGACAAAAGGGCAAGGTAGGGACAGAGAGCCATTCCCTTTTCTTATCCAGACAAGATTATCCCCATCCACGTGTTTTTTCTATGATTTTAGCATTTTGTTTTTTCTTTTTATCCCCATCCTCTAGAGTCGAGTGACCGACAAATTGCCATACTCGTATAAAAATATCTTTGGATTTTGGAGAATCTCCTAATCCTACACCGAACACCGTTAACGTTAACCCCTCGATCCCTCAGGCTTAGCTCTCTTCTTTGTTTTCGTTATAAATTACTTTGCAGGCTCCCAAGTTCCTGCTACAAAACCTCAAACATCGGCTTTATTTTGGGTGAACAACAGAGCAAACATGCAGATCGATTCTTGTGCTTCTTCTTCTTCTCTCTACTCTTCTCTCTCACTTCACAAACAGGAGCCTCGTTCCACTTTCAATTTCAACGCTAATGTCTTCCGCAATATTCCCCAGCTACGTTGCAGAAACTCATCGATTCCTTCTCTATCTTCCTCGTTTTTACCAATTAAATGCTCAGCTGGTGTTGTAGAGAAGGAAATTCAAGATGGAACAATAAGAACCATCACGCCTGGTCTTCCTAATATCGATCCAGAGTTACTTGAGCGGTTGGTACATGATGCTCTCGTCTGGAGTTCTCTCCATGGGCTTATTGTCGGGGACAAAAGAATCCAGGTGCTTATATTTGCACCTCTCCCTCTCTGTGTTTCATTTTTCTCTCCTTAACCTAAACTATTCTATGCTTGTTCAGCTTATCTCCCTACTGACCTTGATTAAACATGAAGTACTCTATATTTTGCTTCGAGGATTATCGGTTTCTGTTACTTAATTCTTATTTTTTTGTCCGGTTGTGTTGAATATGATATGTACGGGGTGAAGAGGTCAGGATCAGTTCCAGGAGTTGGAATGGTGCATGCTCCATTTGCTTTACTGCCTACCATGTCCTTCAGTGAAAGCCATTGGCGACAAGCATGCGAGTTAGCTACCATCTTCAATGAGCTCGTAGATCGTGTGAGCATGGATGGAAAATTCTTGCAGGAATCCTTATCCGGGTTGGTTCTCTCTCTCTCTCCTATGCCTCTTCGTTGAAATTTCTTGTTCCATGCTTGATGGACAAAAAACCCCTTCCCGATTTCTCGGAGGATCAAGAAAAAAAAAATTCTCTGCAGCTGTGGCCACAGTTCACACCAACATTATTATCGTGCTATTCTGCAAGCCAAAAGTCAGAATAAGATGATATTGAAAGGATATCGATCACCTCCAACCAAATCTCTCCGATTGGCAGTGTTAAATGTATCAATAAATCTGCAATCATATGACTTAAGAAAAATCAATTGTGATTTTGAAAGATGAACAAGGTAGAGAGAATTATTTGGCCAAAAAAAAAACAGTTGAGAATTATTTCTTGATCCTTTGAGAAATCCGAAAGGGACTTATGGAGCAGAAATTTTATTTTTATTTAATTGGTAAGTTACTTATCCCGATAGATACAATTATCTCCATTGTCTTTTATTTCCCATGTAAATAAGGTAATGACCATTGGGAAAATTATTTATTCATACCCACCTAGAAATAAACTTTTCTCCGGGTCCCTACAAAAATATGAAAAAAAACATAGAATTCTTAGTTAATGAGAACCAAAATCCTATTGACCAATTTTTTCCTCTCAGATTCAAAAAAAGAACGCTTCCCTAAAGCACATCAGGCAAGTTCATTCATGAAAAGAGTTATAGATCACCTCATCACCCAAGATTTTATTTTTAATTTTTAGAAACGATTAATTATTGCATAAAAATAAATAAATAAATATATTTATATTTTAAAAAGGGTATCTAACAAACGGATTAAGGCGTTATCGCGTTAGTACCTTCTACTAGGGGTGAGCATAATTCGGTTAAAACCGAATAACTGAACCGAAAATTTCAGTTTTGGTTTTTTCGATTTTTGGTTAGATTGGTTTGGTTATTTCGGTTTTCAGTTTCGGTTTTTGAAATTAGAATTTCGGTTAACCGAATTAACCAAATTTTTTATTATTATATATAATATGTAATATGTAATATAATATATTAATATTTTTATATTAATATATAATATACTGAAATTCGATTTTATAATATATAATATATAATATATATTATAATATATATAATAAAGTATATATTATTAAAATTCTGTCTTAACCGAAATAACTGAAAACCGAACTGAAAATTTCGATTTCGATTATTTTGGTTTTTCTAAATTTCGGTTTCGGTTCAGTTTTAAATTTTTAAGTTTGGTTTTTAAAATTTTATTTATTGAATTCTATTTTTAACCAAATAAACCGAATGCTCACCCCTACCTTCTACAGTTCTATTAAAACCTAAGTTTGAGTATTATTAAAAGTTTAAAACACCCCATAATTTGCAACGCTAAATCAGTTTTTCCATTTAAAGTGATGCCACGTGACCTCTTAAAAATGAATTGGGATCTGTTCCTTACATAGCGCGCCTCACACAGGTCTCATTGTCACATCCCATCCTGTAACATCTTCCATGAATAAATTCAAGGACAGAGATGTTCCCGTGTGAGGTGTGTAGTGTGAAAAGAGGTGTGTAGTGTGAAAAGCAGATCCCAACTCCTTAAAAATTAAAAGTAATAATAATTGTAGAAAAAACTTTGGCCCTAAAAAATTAAAATATTGATACAATATGACCAATGAATGGAGAGTGGTACCAATCATTGAAAAAATAGGGTAAAATACTTATACCTCCCTTGACGTTTTTGAAATGTACTTAAACCTCCCTTCACCTTTAACAGTTGCAAAGACCTCCCCTTAAAAGTTGCTTATTGACCCCTTTTGTTAATTCTAGTGGATTGAGAGTGAAAAATTCTTAAACTAGTGAATGCCTTTGTGTTTACCAGAAAAGTTAAAGTTTCATATTACCAAAATTATCCTTCTAGGATTATTCTGCCATCACTTAAAATAATTCCTGCTTAATTCCTCTTTTCCAATACTGCCGCCCAACTTAACATTCTCAAGGATTCTTCAAAAAACCCTGTGTGCAAACAAAGAATACCTACTTGTTGAAGGTGATTTCACACAATTTTTTGAGTTTACTTTGATTTTTTTGAAAGTTTTTAGAGGTAGCTTTTTTTTTCTTCATGCGTTGAATACATTATTAACCTAAGCTTTTTGTGGTTTTTTATTCTTGATTTTTCTTGATCTATTAAACAAACAGGGTGAGTAAAAAGTGTATATAAATCGTACTTGAGTCTAGGAAAGATCATACCTTATTTTGTTATTGTTTATATAGGCAACTTCACTGTTTGTTTAATACCTGGCTCTATTCGTCAAGGGAGGTCTTTGCAACGTTTAAAGGTGAGGATAGGTTTAAGTACTTATCAGAAGGTTTAAGTATTTTACCCAAACATGATTCATGGATATTTTGGGTATTTTAAAAATTTTTGAGCAATAAATATCTATTAAGCTTTTTAACGTGCAACTAATAGAAGGGGTCAATAAGCAACTTTTACACCAAAAGTAAGGAGAGGTCTTTGCAACTTTTAAAGGTGAGGGGAGGTTTAAATACATTTCAGAAATGTCAGGGAAATATTTTACCCAAAAAAATATATTTTTTAGTATGAATTCCTATTTTTCACTCTGAACTTTCTGCAAACAAGGGCATGTATTAAGTCTGGATTGATTGATCACAAGATGCTGGCCACATGACGTCTAGCACATTGGCTGTAGTGTCTTGTGGCCAGGATGTGACCTGACCCACATTTTGTGGTCAGTACATCCAAACTTTGTTCAATAGGTCAGACATAGGGTGTGATCCCAGCCTCCCAGGTGTAACCGTGTAAGGATCATTGACCTGTTCACTCTTTATTGGTAAAATAATACCCTTGTGCAGATCCGGACCCATAACTTTTAGTGGACACTGGTGATTATTATGGGCCAAGTAGCCCGGTGGGCTTCCCTGGTCTGGCCCAATTTAGACCCGTTTTGAGGTCTGTTGGCTTGGGCTGTGTAACCTGTAAGTATTAAGCCCAGCTTGATATTATTAATAATAAAAAATATGTATTAGGTAATAACTTGTATTATTATTATTTTTTGAATTTTGTGTGATTATTGTATCTTGGGCAGCAGTGTGTTTGATGTGTGATTGGATAGGAACATATTAAAAAAATTTGCAATTACAAGATAGAATTAAGATGTTACATAACATAGAGTTTGGGCTTGGGCCTGGGCTTTAGGTTTTATATTAGCGCCAGTCTCGGTCTTGGGCCTGGACAATTTCTGTTATAGGCTGTGCAAAATGTCAATTTCATGAGCCACCATGTAGAGCGGTGACTTGAAAATGGCCCCAAAGTTGTCACATCCTAAAAGCAGGGTACCCGACACTAATTTTCATGGCAAATGCAAGAGTATGTGAACACTGTGAACTGTGTGACCCACACAAATGGGATCTCCTTACAAGCAAAAACTTGGCATACACTATGAAAGTACGTCGGGAACATCTACATGTACCGGAGATATTTCCTATGTGTGACTGGATGTGGTGTGTTCAGGAGATCTAGGCTCCCTTGTTTTGGCATGTTTATAACCCCAGTTCCCACTTTATCACCTTAGCTCCCATAAAATGAGGGTCAAGGATTTTCTGATATTGTGTATTCCCACACACTAGTATGACCCAATTTCATATAATTAGAATTGTTTTTTATTTTTAGTTTAGGCTCCGTTTGGAGCAGGAGAAATATAAAAAGAGCTCAAAACTATTTTGAACATTTGGTAAGAGTAAGAGTTGCTTTTAAAAATATGTAACAATGTTAAGTGCTGTCAGTGGAACAGATATTGGTCCAACCGGACCCAATTCATTATAGATGGACCAAGCCCAAATCAATGTGATGAATATTTGGAACATTTTGGACTAATCCAATTCAATGTCTGACCATTCAATCTGTTAAAATTGCTTTTTTAGATTCAGTCCAATCCAAACTTGATCCATTGACACCCATACTCTTATATTTTGTCAATGAAATAGATATTTGTTCAATTCAATCCAGTCTTAATATAAATCCATTACAGATGAACTGGGTCCAATTCAATTCAATAAATACTTTGGACCATTAAGGCTGAACCGGTCCGATTCAGTAGCTCTTCTGGATTCTGCTCATCGGATCATAATTGGATTCAGATCTAGTAGGCCCAAAGAATTTCGGATTCGGACTCGAATTTATCTGAATCTACTCTGATCCTATTTGGACATGGGATGCACCCAAAATCAGTAGTAACTAATATCATTGATCAAATATTACCTTTTAGGGCATTTAAGAGTGTTAAATAAGCATTCATCTACCAAAAAATTTTTCTTTAGGCTCAGTTTGTCTATAGTGCAAACTTTATTTACACTAGTCTAAATGCATGGAGTGCAAATCGGCCAAGTGTTAATTTTGGTTCAATCAATAATGTTCTTAAATTGGGCCATAAATCCCAATAAAAGATGACGGCATAAAAATGAGTTTGACTATAATCAATCAATCCGCATCTTTCCGGTATCATGTGTTTTTGGTTTATAGATTTTTTCGAAGTATATACATAAATTCTTTTAAAACTGATCAACCTGCCAAAGCCTAACTCACCCCAACCTGAGCTCGTAAAGCTCAAGTTTGGACTAGGTTGATAAATTGGAGCTTGACCTCAGATTGGACATGCAGGTTTGAATCCGAGGTCTGGTCTTTTACTCTTATCATATATAGTTGCTAAACCCGGCCACTCCATGGTAAGACCAGTGAACCTCACTTCTATGCCCCCCACACATAATCCCCAATGATCACCCCACTCTTGTCATAGTTTGCGGTTCATTCAACATAAATTGTATTCTTATTGTTGATCTTCCTTTCGCTTTCAACTCTTTGGCTTTCTGTCTATGGTTTAGAGGTTTCCTTTTCCCTGACCTTCATTTGAAATTGCAATATATCATCTCATGGTTCGTGTAAAAATATTAGTTTAACTGATGTCCCTCTCCTTATATTGCAGCACTAAGAAAGTGGATCCTTTCACCAGCAGGCTCTTGGACATTCATTCAAGAATGCAACAAATGAATAAAAAAGAGGCAAGCCATTTCATGTAACATTGCTTATCCAGATAAATCATACTTTCTGTTTGATGCAGTCTAAAGGCAAGTTGAAAATCGGAGTTGCTGATAATTATGGGCGACACATTAATCCTGTTTCAATTACTAAAATAGGAAGTTCGCATGGGCTTACTTCGCTCGGATTATATGCTCGACGCTAAAACTAATCTACTACTCCAAGTAGAACTCAACACCATTTCATGTTCATTTTACGGTCTTAGTTGTCTTGTTGGTGGGCTTCACAGGCAAGTAATTATGTCTTGACCTTAGGATGCCTAACACTTCAGTATCAACTCTTTTCAATCTTAAATTTATATTTTAGTGACCCTGTGTGGGTCTGTAAATTTGATACCATACTCATTTCTCAGGCACTTGCTTAATCGTTATGGAGAGCACCTTGGATTAGATTCCGAAAGGGTCCTTGGAAACAATACTATCAATCAATATGCAGACGCTTTAGCTAAAGCTTGGAATGAGTACAATAACCCCAGGTTGGAGTCAACCATTTTCACCATTTCACTCGTATTCCTGTATTTGATTAATGTTGTTCGTAGGTCTAACTTCAAATATGTTTGTACAGAGCTATAGTTTTGATTGTGGGTCAAGCTCATGAGCGGAACATGTATGACCAATATTGGCTTATGAACACATTGAAGGAGAGATATCCTTTTTATCTTCAGAACTCAGAAGTACTTGCTTCATACAAAAACTTGATGATGTCTGATGTCTGATGATGTCCTTTAAATATTTAATGGTGATGAAATGGGGGAAGTGACTACTATATTATTTGTTTTGATTATCAATTTGCATGTTGACATATCATGCTGTATATGAATTTCTAGTAGTTATGAGGGTTTAGCTTTGTCACAGTATGTATACTTCGGCTGATTCCTGAAGGAATCCAGAAATTACGAAATTGACCTGCCAGTTCCATTTGCATATTTCCCTTTATCCAAAGACAGTCTTACGATTTCTTGCACAAATTTTCCACCTTGACTTTGTAACACACATGACTTGACAGTAATTCGTAAAACAATGGCACAAATAGATGCAGAGAGTGAGCTTCGGCCAGATGGGACTCTTGTAGTGTATGACTCACTCTTGTGACTCCTTAATCTTTCTCAAAATTTCTTGGTTTTCCATGTGTTGTTCTCATTTCGTTGTAATTTTATATTTTCTGATTTAAGGTTTCTAATTTCTTCTTTTCATGTGCATTTTCCATRTGATGTTTTTAACTTTGAGTCTTTGACTTGTTACTTGCAGTGAAGGTCAAGAAGTTGCAGTCATCTATTTCAGAGCTGGGTATACACCAAAAGATTATCCTTCAGAATCAGTAAGAACTGCATCTCTATTCTTCTGCTTCTGCTACCATACTCTAATTGCAGCATGGGAGATACCCTATTGTTTTGACTGTTCACACTTAAAACTGGCTTTTATTTTATAAATGGTATATTTTATCTAGCTACCTGTTGAGTAGACCCCAAGAATGCTTAATAATAACATGTAAATTTCCCATTTGGATATATTCTATGATAATATCTAGTTACTTGATATGATTTATTATAAGCATGTTATCTGTCATATTTTTAATTTCAGTTGCCAGAATAAAATGACTAGTATCCCAGATGAAAAAAGAAAGAAAATATGAAAAATGCAATGGCGTTCTATTTTGGATCGATTATTGGTGCACGGGGCCTATCAAACTATAGGTTGTGAACCCATTGTTTGTTGCATGGTACTCCAGTAGACTGTCCTAGCTAGAGACATTAAATAATTTTAATTCCCCTACATAGTTGTTGTTGTGCTATTTTTTTTTTTTTTTCATTCACTAGGAATGGAGAGCTAAGCTACTAATGGAGCAGTCCTCTGCTATCAAGTGCCCCTCTGTTTCCTACCATTTAGTAGGAACCAAGAAGATTCAACAAGAGCTGGCAAAGCCCAATGTACTTGAAAGGTAAATCCTTTTTGTTTTCCTTTTTTAATTATTTTTGTTTGTTCAAGATGAAACGTAAATTCATTCTGAATGGCATATTTGGCATGTTTTCTTCTCCTACCATTGGTCCCACAAAAGAAAGAGGAAGGGAAAATGACTATAAAATATTCAGCAGAAAGCAAAGATATCTTAAGTTGACATTATACATAGAAATTTGCTCAAAAGTAGAGCAAGTTTAGATGAAAATTAGATGTAATACAAAGAAGTCAGTTTTTCCTATGCACAACTATGTTTGTCTTTAACTTTTCATGTCGTAGATTACTTCATATTATCTAATACTAGTTGATCCAACATGGTTCAGCCACTGATGGTGCGATATTTAACTGCAAAAACTTTTCATCTTATATTTAGCACATTTCCCATTAGAAATTTATGTGCCATGTAAGCAGGTTCCTTGATAACACGGATGACATTACCAAAGTTCGTAAATGCTTTGCTGGGTTGTGGAGCCTGGATGATCCCAGTGTTGTTAAGAATGCCATAAGAAACCCCAAATCATTTGTTCTAAAACCCCAACGAGAAGGAGGAGGTCATTATCATCATCAGAATTAATGGTTATTTTTATTGTTCCTGTTTTTTATTGTATTCCTAATTATGGCTTTTACTTTCACCCTTCAGGGAACAACATCTATGGTGAGGATGTGAGAGACGCTTTACTAAAATTAGACAAGAAAGGAAGTGAAGAGCTTACTTCATACATTCTTATGCAAAGGATTTTCCCCACTGCTTCTCCTGCATTTTTGGTCCTGGATGGCATTTGTCATCAAGAACATGCTATATCTGAATTTGGGATATATAGTGCTTATCTGAGGTAGTAAATTTTTATCCTTCTCTTTCCCCTTTTTGTCTTTTTGCATGAATGGTGGTTGGAGACTGGAGAGATAAGGATGGAAAGACAATGTGGGAATGGAACCCCAACTTAATGTTTATCTATTGCTGGATACTCTTCCAAGTATAAAGTTGGTGCACTTTATTAATTTAATTTTGTCAATTATTCAATTGTTTGAATTTTTGCTGACATTGTTCTTTTCGAACTTATACTTGCCATTACAGTTTCTATGCAGCTATATTCAAATCTGTATTTGATACTTTAAACCCTAACCACCTTAATCCCTTCTTATTCAACTACAGATCTAAATCTTTTCCTTCATCAATTTTAGGCATCAAGGGACTCTATTAGCTTGTAATCAGTGTTGCTATGAAGAGAAAGGAACCTGATCTATCAGTAGCAACCATTTATTTTTAGTTGTTATGCTATAGTAGACTCCTTAGATACCAAGTATGACAATGTTCAAGTCTTTGTGAAAAGGATGAAGTCTTCTTTAACAGCAACTAGGGGAAGAGACCCCTTGGTGCAATGATAAAATAGACCCCTGCTTGTCTTCTTTAGAAGCAACTAATCCACCCTGGAGTGAGACCCCTTTCTGATGACCTTCAAAGGTGAAGAGACACCTTGCTTTCCCTTGTTTTATCCACCTTAAATTCTCCATTATAGTCCATCTGCATTYGATACCTAAATTCTATCTTACCTTTTCTTTTTTCCCTTTACCCAGACCGTAAACCCTTTTAATTTTGCCAAGTATATCGTCTTTCATCAATTTAAGATATAAGAGCAACCTATTAATTGCAATAACTTTGCTTTTTCAAGTTAATGCTACATTAAGGCATTTGATTGTGCAGGAACAAAGAGAAGGTAATACTAAATGATGACTGTGGTTACTTGATAAAGACCAAGGCTCAATCATCAGATGAAGGTGGAATAGTTGCTGGATATGCAGTCTCAGATAGCGTATATATTTGAATGGAATGAATTGACTTGTTAAGTTATACTGATCATTGAACTCCAACTGGCAGTCATATTTGCCTTTATTTCTTTGGCAGATGTACCATCAAGGTGGGGGTGTGGATGGGGAGAGTAAGGTTGGAATCAGCAGAAACACAAATAATAAAGATAATTGTGGGGTCTATTTTGTTTTGTACTGCATTAGTAGCATATAATGGAAACTAATAAAAAGAAAAGTACTTTTTGTGCTTGTGAAAGCTGTTAATAGAAGCAAATACAAACCAAAATTCAAGTAGAGAGAAAATCGAGAAACTAACCATAATCCTTTGTGGGGCTTGAGTTATTGCTTTTATTTTTTCACTGTATTCACCATCATAAAAATAAATGTGAAAATGCTCATAAAATTAATAAGACATTCTTAATAATAGATTATAATCAAGTCTCTATTATGCAATAATGTTACATGTTTATTGTATCTGCAATGAAGGGCCACTAGTGGTGAGAGCTCTGGTATGTAGAGTGAAAATGTTCTTCAAATGGATTCAGAGGTCAACAAATTCTTCAGCAGATAGCCATGGTAGGGGAAGAGTGGGAAGAGGATATCTGCATCGTTGATCATCCCTCCTGATATGGATCTCTCTTTCTTTTATATCATTGAGCCCTTTTTTGGGGTAATCTGTATTGTTCCTCTATTTTGAGCGACTTATCTTGGTTGTGCTCTGTCATCTTGGATGGGTCACACAATTTACTCTTCTTTTTCTCATGTTTCATAGTAATACTAGCAATTATTGGATGTTTGGAATATTGGAAGCTTTTAAAAAAATGTGTTAACTATGTATATTTGTATACCATATGCATGCTATATTTTAGTGAAATTTGTTACACGTACAATTTTGTGGTACAAACAAGTATTTTATGCTCCCTATGTACCTACAGACCTCTGAGAAGCTCCAACATACTACAAATTGAGGTTTGCCATGTCTATCAGAAAACAAATTCCCAATTTTTGTCATCACAATCCCAAACTTCCCTCGGGCCTTTATTATTTTACTGAAACATACAAGGGCCATTACCTAATGTTGGTCCAAGGTTGCTAACTTTTGGCTGTTTTTTATTTTTATTTTTTGTTAGTCTGGGATTTTACCATTGCACCAGCACCAGGCAATGATCCCTATTTTACTGAAAATTTTACCATTTAAAATATATCATGCAGCCAAAATTTCATTCCTAGCAACTTTCTTTGCAAGACTTCATTGACAATTATGTATCTTTAGAGCATGTCTATGGCAACAATCTCTGTGCTTGTCTTTGAAACATATCCGTATGATGTAATGCTGTAAATGATTTTACTTTATAGGTGTATCTAATTTCTCGGACATGGCAATGTCAATGAGAGTAATCAGTAATCAATATTTGATACCAATTGAAAAATTGAAGAGAAGGAAATTAGATAGATTGAAGGGGTCTGTACTTKCAAGGTAGAGTTATGCAATATTAGATGCTATATATTCAACATTAGATGGGGTCTGTACTTTCAACTTAAACATTAGGTATTTCAGGAGTGTATTTTAGAAGTTAGATAGATAAATTGCTTGAAGTATGGATTTTATATTCTCGGCTTAGAACTAAGGATGGCAATCCGAAATCCCCCACATCCATCCATAATCCATRAATAAATAAAAGAGGAAAAAAGGGAGAGTAAAATCTTGCAAAGCCTGAACTCTTTTTCATTTGCTTTCATCTGCTTTTGACTAAAGTTATCTGTATCATCACCATAATCAACATAATAAAAGCCGTTTCTCTTAGATGGAGGTGAACCCTAAAACAGGGGCAATATCCCATGGTAATTTCTAATTTTCTATTGGCCTAAACTGGAGAAATGTTTACAACTTAAATGGATTCACCCCTAGCCATAATACCCATGTTCATGGTGAAACAAGTTTGTCCTACTATTGTATTGATTAAGTTCACAAGGGCCAGAGGATGGGTATACTACAGTTACGATTCTGGAATGCACCAACTCGAAACACAAAACATAAGACGCATGCCAAAAAATAGGTTTTTTTTCAGTCTCAGCTTGGGAAGAGTACAAATACAAATTCTTAAAATACAATAAACCACTGAAAATATTTGTACTTGCACTCTTTCCAAACAGGAAGGAGTACAAATACAAATATATAGTGTAAAACCTTGTATTTTCTAAGTATTTGTGTTCGTACTCTTCTTACAAATATGTACACTGCAAAACTTTATATATAGTATTTCTAAATTGAGAAGAGTACAAATACAAATATGTACTTGTATATTATACATATTTGTAAAAGGTCAACCCCAATCGACGCAGTAGAGGTGATAAAAATGGAAATCTCAAATCATCGTTATGGCTGGCTGGCTGTCGCCCTACTCTACGACTCATGAGTCGCTCTCGCTACTGTTAACTGTTCTACAGAGGGACCCATCTTGTGCTTTGAGATAACCAACAGACGAAAATGATTTCTGTTTTCTTATCATGGTTTACAATTAAACGAAAAGAAACTACRAGAAAACACTATCTCCCACCCACCACGCTCCATGCCATGAGTTGCCCCACTCTCTCAGTTCACAATCCCATGGACCTCAGATGGTCTACAGTCACAGGGCACAGGCGGCTAGCAGAGCCAACAACCTCCCTTCCCTTACCCCACCCAACCGCTCGCTCTCGGCTCTCGTCCCTTCTCCTCCTCTTTGGTCGTTCCGGCCTCGATCTCCGTGTGCATTAGCTTCTCTCTCTCTCTCTCTCTCTCTCTCTCTCATTCTTCTAGAGTGACTGTTGAACGATAGAGATCATACGGTTGCCATAAATAATCAACGGCACACGGCTTTCGGGAGTCCAACCTCAGCCATGGCTTACCCTTCCCACTCCAGTGGAGTAGACTGATGGGACCAGGGTGAAGGTTCCTACATTTGCCTTCGAAGTTGTCACCACCTAATCCGTGTTGGTTCCATCTATGATCAACTGCTTTGATATTCCCAGCCAACACCAGCAAGAAAGGTGGTAGAGAGCCCAAGTGATATATTCTCTTCTGTTTCTGCAGCCACATCCACTCCTCAACCTTCTCGGTGTAACTTCCTTGTCGCCATTTATCCACATCAACTACCATCACCCCTGTGTTGAAGTAACAGGGCTTCCTTCCTTCAAATGTTGTCGCCAAAGCTGGGTCTGACCAAAATGCATCCGTGAAGTATTGGGTGAAATTTGCATGGCAGTACTCTGGTGCGGCTATCACCTTGTCACCCAAATCCACCCTCCAGAGCTTTGCGATGTCGTCAACCACGATTGTGTCAGAGTCGAGGTAGATGATACGATCCACGTCGGCCGGGACGATATCTGCAAGGTAGATGCGTGCATAATTCAGAGGTTGGTCCAGAGCTAGGCGAATTGACTTTGAGATCTTGCCACGGACCCGGTTCGAGTCGAAGTGGTAGACCTTGAAATTGAGATAAGGGAAGGTGGAACGGATGCTGGCGATGATATCAGGCTCGGACCGGGCTGAGAGGAAGTGGAAAGCGACGTTCTCCGGGCATGATGAGTGCTGTAGGATTGACAATACGGCAGCCATGGTCCCTCTGAGATAATTGGCATCAAGGGTCATGACGATATGGATGCGATCAGTGTCCGCGGAGCCACAGGTCTCCTCATTGCGGAAAGCAGGGGCTTCACGGAAGCTGGGCACGTCGGGGGATGGCTTGCGGAGTATGCCAAGGCGGATTCCGGTGGCGGACGTAGAAGTGGTGGCGATGGGGTGGAGGAGGAGGAAAGACAGGAGGCCAAGGAGTGGGAGAGGGGCTAGGCTCCTCCGGAAGGCCATCCTGCCTTTGATTGAACTGGGAAGGTCAACCAAGAGGAGGAAGAGCAGCCATTGGAGGTAGGCTGCAGGTTAAGAGAAGTCTTTTTTGGAAAGCTTGGAAATGGTTGACAATAAAAGGCAAGGAAACAGGTGGGTGGGATTGTGAGGAAGAGAAGAAAGGTCGGAGGATCCTGTGACTTGTGATCATCATCAGGAGGACCCATTTTAGAAAATCACTTCTATTTTGCTTTTTTGCTTTCCCCACCTCCAAAATAATATATATAAATAAATAATTCTACTTGAATAGAATATTGAGAAATTTTCGTTTTTTAATTGTTTTTTTTTTTTTCTCATTCAGATTATTTTTCTGGAATCAGAAATAGGAGGGGTTTTGTATCATTGAAAAGATTTTGAGGAGTGGAGTCCTACATGCATGGGCAGGTCGTTTAGTATCCCCCTGGTTTATGGGAAGGTTGTTATTTTTGACGTTAGCCAGAATTTGACTTCTAACGGTTACTTGCCAATTCTTCGGCATGGGGGGACTGGATATAACATATAATATAATCAAAATTTGATTCCTTAATAAAGATTCCAATTCATATCCAATCTTATCCATTCGATTTGGTTTCTCTAATTAATTATATTAAATTAAATTAACGCACAATTAAATGACTTTATTGTATATCTTTTGAAGATTTCTGGCCTTTTTTAATCAATTAATAGGGTTAATTATTTGACGAAAAATAAAAAGACAAAAGTGCCCTTAACTGTGGTTTAAATTTTCAAAAAAAAAAAAGAATGGAGGATCAACTCGTCCGTTCCATTTATGATTTATCATTTATTTATCCCCATTTATTTTCACAACCAAAAGAGAAAATAGATGGGTCTCGAGTTTTATGATCAATCAGATTGATACCTGTGTTCTATCTGTGTTTTTCTCATCTATTTGTTTATGGTCTTCGGATTAATTGATATCCATTTGTTTGTGAAACAGGCAAAAGGGTTTTCTGCAATTGACATTTCTATGATATGCTTGCTACCTGCTTGGGAAACCAGGTTGTTTTGTTTCATTGTTCAGGGGAGAGATAAAGATAATCGTCTCTATAGCAATGGTTCAGAAAGATTTCGCATTTCAAAGGAGAGCCATCTTTCATCATAATGTGAGGTACAGGTACAAGGCCTGGTTTGATATGTTAGAAAATGAGTTTGAATATAAGGTACAGGTCCCTTATATTACTCTGCAATCAATACCTAGGTTTCTCTTTCAAAATTTCACCAACAGAGTTAACGGTGGAAGTACTACTAAAATTGCCCATCACTCATCAGAGATGTATGCTGTGTGCACCGGCGGCAACAAATATCAAAATGATGAATAACGCATAAATCATTCTCCGAAGACATTCTCAAGATGAACTTTCTTAAAAGAAAATTAAAGAAAGTTGAGGGAAACATTAGGATTTAAAATTAAAAAAACAAGTTAAAAGGATAAAATGGAGTAAAAAAAAATAAGGGTAGTTATAGAATTTTAGGCTTTTAGTTTAAGGTTTTAGAAATGTTTAAAGAATATTTCATGAAGTTAAAAGAATATTCAGGTCGGCCTTTGTTGCAAAATAAAGTTGAAGGGACTAAGTGTCACTACCCCTAAGTACAGGGTGGCTGTTTGTAATTGATCTACCAAATAAGTGACTTTCCCTTGAAGCCTTTTCTAGTAGCTTCTTCAAAGGCTCTCACCCAGAGAGAGAGAGATCAGGGACGGTATGGTAGAGGATCCATGGGTCTAATAGAACAAGTAAGCACGTATACTCCATTGAGGCATTGCATATGTAAGATAGCAAATTCTGTTACGAGTTTTGTGTAGTTTTCTTCAATCTGACTGTTGATGAAGTGACTTCAGGATTTGATTTGAGTACCCGCCTGAATCTTGATGTGAACAAATGTTGAAGGAAAGCTTGGTAGCAAGGAGGAAAAAATGACCTGGGAGGAAGAACCTGATTTACTTAGTGATAATGTGATATTAATTTAAGTAATTGGAAACCAATCAACTACTATTCATTCAAATTCACCTGGGTTACCTTTCTAGTTTTATAGAAATTATCTTGATAATTTTGTCCTCTGTTAGGGAAGCCCTGGGAGAAAATTTGAGGGCACTATGGAAAACAGAATGCCTTCATATATGAGTGRAAAAAAAAAATCTTTTACCATTTAAACATTTACTTCAAACATCCCCATTATGATGAAGAGATACTTGTGAAGATTTGACTCCACTAGTTCACTTACTTTGGAGCTGCATCTGCATCATTGGGATATTCTGAAGCCAAAATAAATATTGAACCCACTTATATATCTGAACTTGGTTAAGAACAGCTGGAAAATGATTTCAGTTAGATGAATTTCATTTCTYAAGGAAATATAAGGATAAAAGGTTAAAAACAAATATAATTTATATTGCACAAAATGAATCCATGGGCCTGAATATACATGTGGCTCGCCACCTCAACTATGGAAAGTATAGAGATCCCTATAGAGACTATCAATTACTTGTTTAAAAGTGAGCCCCTTTTCTATCCTTCCACCCAAGTTCGCGGGCCCTTTTCTCCCACAATTCTGACTGCTTAAGCTCCGCTCTCAGAGCTGCTTCAGCCTTCTCTCTTGCTTCTTCACACGCTTCCACTCCTAAATTGCATTTTTCTGCTTCTTTTTGGTAATGAGAAGATGATTCCTTTGCCTMTAGTATCAATACCTTACTATGTTCCATCATGTCATTGGTCACATCTCTCTGTAGATTTAGTTCATCAGACAATAATTCTACAACGTCTTTCTCCATCTCTTTATTCATGTCAGCATCATGCTTACCACAATCTGTACAAGAGAGTAGGAAAATATGATGCAACAGAGTATAGATTGGAAAGAGGATAGGCATACCTGCATACATGTATATAATGTAAAAGGCTGAAAAGGTAAGGATGGATTTTGGAACTTTGTTTTTTTGGGGGGGGGATTTCAATACAGAGTTACCAACTAAGCTAGTTGGCATCTCTGAAAAAAAGGAACTATTTGGTATCTTCAAAAGAAACATGGATGATATATACTTCTATTTCAATCAGTACAATGCTGATGTTATGATTCCATTCTAATTACCTTATACAAAAACTAGGATCACACATCATGATATCGATCTTGATTGATAGATTTTTTTTTTCCATAGAAAGCTACCTTACAGTGTATTTCCACATAATGGAAAGAGAAAAGTTAACTAAGCTACAGAAGGAGGTTGAACATCTTTTGTTGGGCAGAATATGGTAGTAGGTGTCTATGAAATGCAAGATATATTACCAATAAAGAGCAATGGCATAACTAGATCATTTTCTAGGCAAGCTCCAAAATACTGATAGTATTTGACTAATATTTAGTACCATATCCCTACCTTGTTTAATAATTTATCAATATTTTTCCTCCTCTATTTGAACTGTATTATCAGAAAGAACAGTAGAGTGAGCAGAATATCTTCTAAGCAAGCTGCAAACTTTAAAACTGTATATAACTAAGATCATATATCATATCCCTGCCTTGGTGAGTGATTTATCACGATTTTTTTTCTAATCAAAATGTATTATCATAGATTCATAATGAAAATGGAACGGCTAGAACATCTTCTAAGCAAGCATCAAATTACTGACAGTATTTGAGTAAGATCATATACTGCAGAACTACATTATAGCATTTCAAATTCTGAGGCATGTCAAAAGTTTCACTCAGAAAATTTAATATTTCATTATTCCAATTTAGAATATAAAATTTCTGATTGTCATAATTATTTTTCTACCTTCTATTCATATATTCCTACTTAAACTATATTCAGTTACAGAACTTCACATGCAGGACACCATAGACATTCATGTAATGTTGGCATACAGGGACCCAATAAGCACAATAAATCATGAAACTGCAACTGCGCATAGTTGGAAATAAATTAACTGACCTGAATCTGGGTAGATAGCAACTTTTGCAAGGAACAAAAAGTAGTATTTATAAAATTATAGCATAAAAAATCTCTAAGTGTGTGATCAGATACATGAAAGCCAAACAAAACTAGCAATAATGAAACATTGTTTTCAACAATGGAGAGCAAGAGACACAAGAAAACTACTGCAGCATGGTAGACAATACTCATGCACATTTATTTTAATGTGACATGAAAGCCAAGTGTTATGTGCAGGTGTGGGCTCAAAAGTCAAAAGCAATAGGATGCAATTGCATTACTTATAACAAGGGTGAAGGGTGCAACCAACTGAAACTAAATTTCAAGTATTCATAACTAATTGTCTAGATAGAGAAACTTTGTGTGGATGATGGAAGAGTCAGTTGTTTACACTCTTAACTGCAATAGCATTGCCCAAAAAAGTAGAGTTACAGAAAATTGTCCATTCCTTCTCTCTTTATTCTGTCTCAGATACTTCGACCTTACAAATTACTATGTCAAGTAATTATCCATGCCATGTGCTTTTACACCATTTTGTCCTCTTTTGATATTCAGTACTTACCCTGTTTTTCTTTTTCTCAGAATTTCTTATCATTATTTCTGAGCATGAACGTGTTAATATTATACATAGACACCAGTTGTCAAGCACGGGAAACTGATCACCTCTTAACATCTTAACCATTGTGAACATGATGAGTTGAATGAACCCTCCCTCCTACAGATCCACAATATCATGTACTTAAAATACATCACCATGTATCCTCAGAACATGATAGATTTAAATGAACACGACTGGGTAAATCATGTCCAGTCATCAGAGCATCAAAGATTTTTAATGATTACTCCCCCATTTTCTGTCAACTCAAATGATCCCTCCAGGTAAATTATCTGTTATCATCAGAACATGATGGATTTAAAATTTCTCTATTGCCCTTTGCCTTCATAATGTGATTCTCTAGGTAAATTGTGTCCCATCTTTGAAGAATGGTGGATTCAAATTATCAATCCATCAAAGCCCTATACTCCCTACTACTAAGATTCTGTTTTTGCAATTAGCTTTATCATAAGAAATTCTAAGTCCACATAAACATAGCAATACAATTAATCCCTCCAAGCAACAGAACGCATTAAACCAAAATTCATTGAACTCCATACTACAATATAAAACTAAAAATAGAGCTAATCAACTGTGGCTTTGTACTACAATATATAATTAGTTAGTTCCTATATTCAAAAGACAAACTAAAAATCCAAAAAAGAAACCCATTATGAATCTACTATCAGTGCAAAGTTCAATATAGCAGTGTTCTTCAAACTGCATTGTATTCTTCTAAAACAGTAAATTTTAACACCAAGATCCAATCTCCATTATCAATATCAAGACATCTTTGAATTTAATATTTCTGAATCTTCACGTTGTAATATAACCTATTATCAAGTTAAGCAACTAGCAGTAAATAATTATAAGCTAAATAGATAACACTCCAAACCCAGAAATTAGACAGTTAAAACAAAGAACTCAGAAGAAAGTGCTCATTAATAAAGAAGAGTGGACATATGCCAAACTATCATCATCTACCTGAGAAGCTTTAACAGCCTACAACAGTTGATTATTACCTAATGGTATGGATAAGAAGTCCTCCAAAGAACATTTACATTCGCATAGAGGACATGAGACTTGATCAGCTAAGTTCTCCTTCATATTCCTTACGATATAACCAACCAGACAAATACCCAGAAAAAACACGACCAATCTCGGAGAATCAGGTCTATAAGAAGAACCACGGGTTGATTTAGAAGCCATTCTTTCAAGAAAAAAAAAATCTTAATGCAAAACCGATTAAATATAATAAAAGATCAAAAAGACGATTTGGTGAAAATCATCCGAAGCAGGTATTGAGTTATACAACCCGGCCAGCAAGAATCTCCCCTTCAAACGGAATGCAAATATGCAATACGAACACGGACTCTTCAACCACCAACAAGAAACAAATCAATTCTTGTGTCAACATCAATATCGAGGGTTTTGCTAGATCCATATGTTCGATAGTAATCCATACTTGTACGTAATTAATTAGGACTGGACTCTAACTCTCTAGAAGTGCAATTGTACAACAAATCTTCTTTATTTATCTATTTTATTATTATTATTATTATTATTATTATTATTATTATTATTATTATGTTTAAGAAACTTTTTGATCGTAAATGTGGTCATCAATCACGACCGTCCAAATTAATGACCAATCTGGTTCGAATGATTTAACAGTCTAATGACTCTAATCTATGGCTTCCAAAATAAAGTAGGTCACACAATATTTTGAGCGCTTAATAATTTATTAGTACATAATTATTGTTAAAATATGAAAATTAGTTATTCTCTCTCTCTCTCTATCTATCTATATCTATATCTATATCTATATCTATATCTATATCTATATCTATATCTATATATATATATATATTCAAAATTTTATTTAACATAAAGAAAAATAACCGGATAAGTCAGAGGTTAATTCAAGAATTAACAAATTACTAGTGGGGACCCGTGCGATGCACGGGAAAATCTGAAAGATTTAAAAATTTTATTTATTATTAATTAATAATCAAAATTTGTTGTTAATTAACTAAAAGTATTCAAAGTTATTGCTAATATTTCAAATTTTAATAATTTTATTTTTCATGTAATGTTAATTTATAGAAAATAATTATTGTTAATTGAATATGAACAAATATTTTTAATAAATTTAGTTTTATTAATAATTTGTAATGATTTTAATAATTTTTATTCTTTTTATTATTTTTAAGTGAAATTTTGATTAACTTTAAATAAATAAAAATAATTATAAAAGCTAACATTTTTATTAATTCAACTAATAATTAACAATTATATAGGAATGACAACGGGGTGGGTTTAGGGCGGGGCACCCCATCCCTGCCCCGTCCCTAGTGTCACACGGGTTCAGGGCAAGGCAACTACTCCTCAATGTCGGGCAAGTTCAAGTGCAAGGCACCCCACTCCTCATCAAGGATGGAGATTTCGTGAATTTCCCTACCTCGTCCCAAGTATTGGGTAGGTAGCTGGCCGACATGACATGACCCGCATGTGGCCCGCACAAAGTGCGAGCCGCGTCATGCTAGCCCATGAGGCATCCCGAGCCATGCCTCCCTCTTCTAGGATGATTTAGGGGGTCGGTTCGACACAACCTATGGCCCGAGCCTTGGGCTAGGTCAGGCTGCAGACCAAGCCAAGTTATGAGAGGTCCATTTAAAAAAAAAAATTGAAAAAAGATGTTTAAATTTTTATTTTATACAATTTTTTATGTATACAATTAGACCTATTCATGGGTCGGGTAGCCCGACGGCCCAGCCTAGCCTAACCCATTTTTTTTTAGGCTTGGAAAAATTTCAATCTCGTGGGCTTGAGCTTGAGCTTTCTCAAATAAGCCTGACCGAGCCCGAGCCCAGCTTGTTGACTTCATTAATGTAATTTCTATGAAAAAAAACTACTTTAAACTCTCCACGTTTTGTAATTATTTAATTATATTACTATTAATTAATAAATACATTATTTCTAAAAAATAATATATTTAATAATACTGCTTTTTAGTAAATACTGTAATTATTAAAATACTGAATTATTAATAATACTTTAATTATTAAATTTCTGTATTTATTGAAAAATTATAATTACTGTTAAACACAGTTGAAAAATAATTTAGTTACAGTAAAAAATAATTACTGTTTTTTAATTAATAAATATATTATACTGTACGATGCAATGTTAATTAATACTGTTTTTTAATAAATATTGTTAATTATTTAAAAATACTTTTAATTTATAAATACATTGCTGTTAATAAATACTGTTAAGTGTAATGCATTACTGTACTTATCAAAATACTGTATTTATTAATTAAATAAAATCCTGTAATTAATACTGTTAATTAATAAGTACTGTATTTTTTTTAAAAATACTGTAATTATGAAAAATACTGTATTTATTAATTAAATACAATACTGTAATTAGTATTGTTAACTAATAAACACAGTAATTTTAAAATAATGTTAATTATTAAAAATTATGAAAAGTACTGAAATTATAAATACTTTTAATTAAATACAGTAATTAATAATGTTAATTAATTAATAATGAATTTTCTAATACTGTTAATTAATAAATAATATATTTTTCAATAAATACAGTATTTTTAATACTATTAATTAATAGATACTGTAATTATTAAAATATTGTAATTATTGAAAAAATACTTTAATTATGACAATGATTATTAAAGTCACAGATTAGTATTATACTGCATTAAATTATACTGTAATTAACTAGATACAAAACTACTGCAATTAATTAAATATATACTGTATTTATGTAATTGAAAACACTGTATTTAATAAAAATATTAATTGATATTAAATAATATTATCTAATAAATACTGTGATTATAGAAAATATTGTATTTATCAAAATACAGTATTTATTAATTACATAAATTAATATAATTTTTTAAAATACTGTTAATCATTAAAAATTAAGAAAAATACTGTAATTATAAATTCTTCTAATTAATACTGTATTTTTTCTAACACTGTTAATTACTTAATAATGTTATTATTATTGTTATGATCATCATCATCATCATCATCATCACCATTATCATCATAATTATTATTATTATTATTATTATTATTATTATTATTATTATTATGATTATTATTATTATGATTATTATTATTATTATTATTATTATTATTATTTTGTTTTTATTGAAATAAAATTGCAACAACAAATTGAAAATACTGTAGTCAATACTGTTAATTAATATATACTGTATTTTCTAAAATAATGTTAATTATAAAAAATAATTACTGTTAATTTTCTGATAATTACTGTTAATTACAGTTTACCGTGGTTACTTTTTTTCTGTTATAATTTTGAAAATGCTGTTATTTAATAAATACATTATTTTTATTGGAAATACTGTTATTTAATGATAAAAAATACTGTAATTTTAGTTTATAGAATTATTGAAAATTACTGTTATTTAATTTATTGAAAATACTGTAAATTTAATTAAAACTGTTTATTAATCAATATTGTATTTTTTWAAATAATGGAAATTATTAAAAATTATGAAAAATACTGTAATTTTTAAAAACACTGTAATTATTAAATTACTGTTAATTAATAATGCGTTATGTTTAATCTATACACTAATTATTAATACTTGTAATTAGTAAATACTGTATTTATTAAAATATTGTTAATAATTTAGGGTAAAATATAAAAACCTCCCCTGAGGTTTTTGACAATCATAAATATCTCCCCTCAAGTTCCACTTTAACACAAACCTCCCCTGAACTTTTGAAAAACTCAACACAAACCTCTCTTCCATTACTGACCTAGACTAAAAACGTTCCATCGATGTACTATTTTTTCAAAATACCCATTTTACCTTTTTTATTTTACATAAAAATTGACAAAAATAATCCTAAAAGAAACTTTACTTTCTCATCTTTCAATCTCCCACCCCGAAACTCCATCGACTCAAGAACAGATGGAAGCATTCAGCCACCGTAAACTTCACTGTAACAGGAAGTGTGTTCAAGGATGAGAATGGTGGTATTTGGAGTCTAATCTGTCAAGCCAATTGTCCCATTCTGCCACATTGGGACATGGGTGACTCTGAGGAAGGAAACACTCTCATCTTCCTTTCCTGCATTGACTTCGTTCGTGTTAACAATTATGAGCAAATAAGGTTCAGATGAAAAAGTTAACTTAGGGCTTCTTTTGGAAGAGAAGACATGGTATTGTTTAGGTCTATCAAATCGGCAATCTTCGAGAAGAGAGAAAACATTAAGTTTCTATTTATCTTGATTTCTGGATCTTATTCTTCTTCCATTACATTCACTTAAATGTGATGTTTACAGACAATATCAAGCTCATATTTGAGGACTCAACGCATTCGAATGTCACAAGATATTTTTAAAGGATTACGGTGAGATAACCTTCCAGCCTGCAGTTTTGTCTTGATTGTATCTGCTTCTATCGAATCCATTGTCAATCATATTTCCTAGCAGCATATTTCCTACATGTGCAATGATCAAGTGGAAGGGTGTGATTAGTTAGATAGACCAAAGGATGTAAACTGCAATGCAGTATGAAGATTATTGGGAAAAATTTTATGCTAGTTCATATGTGAGTTCTGTACATCCACCGCTAGAATTAGAGACATCGGTAGATGATCCATGAGTGTAGCAACTGTGACATCTAAAATTTGGAGAAGGTCTAAACATTGATGCCAAAAAAAGTTTGTCATTGAGGAGACAAGGTTCAAGGGAACAGATATTTTAAGGCCATAATCTATATGTTTTTCAAACACTCTAAGCTGCTAACAGAAACTCGGTGTCAAGTTACTACAATCTCTCCATGGATGTCTTTGATGAGTTGAAATTGAAATGTGAAAGCAATGTCAATTACTGGATAGGTGGGAGTCCTATTTCAGCTATTTAAGCCAAACCCTCACCCCTGATGGAGCCTTGCAACTTCTTGACAGAAGATCCAGACCAGTGAGATCACTGTTTGGAGATCACAATGATTCCTCTATTGGTGCGTTTTCGATTTTTGAGACCAGATATAGATGAAAATCTCTGGATGTATTCATGGACTGAAGCATCGGACTCATGGCAGTCGGTATGGCAAGCTGTCCATAAATAGTGTGATGTCTTTGCCACATGTGGTCTGTATGGCATATGCGTTTTCGTAACAGCAGGGACCACTGACTGCAAATGCCCTTTCCTTAGGGGCTGATTTCAATTCAAAATGTTTGGCACCATATAAACACAAGTGTGAATCTGTATGGCATTTGTGTGCTCATGCCTGAGCACACTTTTATAGTTTCATGTTACAATGGAGTTAAAGCAAAA